TGTTGCTTTAAAGTAGTAACCCAGAGAGAATTTACAGACGCGGCAGCTTCTGATTTGAGATACCAGAAGCAGGGGCTACTCTAAATTTTGTTAGGGTAAGTTCACTGCTTGTACTGTAGGCATAATATCAGAGCAACGTTTATGCCGCTATATATGGCAGCGCTCTTCTCATGCTGGTGAAAGTAATGCTGCTTCTAACGTAGAATAATGCATGTTGTCTGCTTCTCAACATACGATTGTATTCAGCTAGCTTTTAATTAGATGATGAAACGTTATTTATGTGGTGATAATTCGTTTATTTTGACCTCATTTACCCGCCTGGTTGAGAAATCGTTGATGTCGTCGTTCTTCAATGTGTGTTAGGATACATAGCTGCTACTGAGCCAGTAAATATACATACAGTACAAGAGTTTAAAGGAGTGACTGTAACTATATTCTATTCATCTCATCACAAATTCTGATGAATTAATAATCATTTGGTCCAAATGGTGATAAACTTTCTTCACGTAGCATTGATACGCCCTATGGGCCAGGCCAAACTGGGTCAGGATGACTCATACTATGGTAAAAAGTGCATCACTATTTAGACAAAGTAATTCATTTCTTTGAGTGCATTATTGGTCGCCATCTATACTTTTTGAAGCTTATAATAGTTTGAGAGTTGATTTTTATATCCACCTCTTATATAGTACGGTAACTTAGACCACTTTTCATTTTTTTAACAAAAACCCCCAAAACTCAAAAACTATTTGACATAGAAAAATTATCAATGGGCATTAAAGGCCTAATACTGAGGCTGCATTACACAATGGAAAGATTTAAAAAGTTTGCATATCTAATAGGTTAAAAAATTAAAAATGTGACCCACGAAAAAAAGCTATTATTTAAAGCCTGTCAGAGTACCCCCTCCAATTTTTTGGTTAAATAACTCCAGATTTTGATGCATTGTAGTAGAACTCTCCTAGTTACATATGCAAATGACAAATTTTAGGAAAGTGTCATAGTTTGCAAATGGGGGGTGCCGCCCCCAAATGGGGGAACTTAGACCACCTAATGTCAGCCCTGACGGGGTAACATAGACCAGCTTGGAAGTTAATATAAAATTACCATATATAACATATTTTATGTTTTACAGCCTATTTATGTTTTTTCTTTATGTTTCAGACTCTACAGAGTCTTATATATGGTAATTTTAACTTAATTCCCAAGCCAGTCAATATTACCCCATCAGGGCTGCCATTAGGTAGTCACATTTCCCTCATTATGGGGTGGCGCCCCCCATTTGCAAACTATGACACTTTCCTCAAGTTTGTCATTTGCATATGTAAATAGAAGAGCTCTACTACAATGCACCAAAAAGTAGAGTTATTTGGAGTTATTTTACCAAAATATATAATTGATTTTACCACACGGTCTAAGATACCCCAAGAGCTGGGGTAACAAAGACCATCACTTTTTTTAAATTACATAAAGACTATGAGAGGCAGGAGCCAGCAATTTATAGTGAGTAAAGCTAGAGTATAGACCTGTATTTTGCATGTTTCAATTCAAGTTTAATTTAGCTAGTAAGAAAATGGCATCATTTATAAGAAAAAAAATGGTCTAAGTAACCCCATTTTACGGTAATAAAATAATCCACTTGAGTTATTCGGGAATCTCGCGATTCCCGATTCCCGCCATTGTAATTCCTCATACCCGTCGTCGTTGTTCCTGATTCCCGCCATCGTGACTCCCGATTCCCGCTTTTGTGATCGCGATTCCCGCCATTGTGATTCCTGATTCCCGTCATCGTTATTCATAATTGCCGTCTTCGTGATTCCCGATTCCCGCTTTTGTGATTCCTCATTCCCGTCGCCGTGATTCCTGATTCCTAACATCGTTATTCCTGATTCCCGCCTCGCTGGCGCGCACGACTTCCTCTTCCGCGTGCACTTCAGCCGCCGTCGCCTTGAGAGCCGCGCACTGTCGCGCCTGCGCCTCCATGCGCATCCGGCGCCATGCGTACAGCATGCGCGTCCATGCCAGGCGTGCAGAATGTGCAATTGTGATCCGTGATGCTAGGCGTACATTCCTCCTTCCATGTATCTCTAGATGAAACATTTTCTTCATTCATGACTATCTCTCGTGCAGCATTCTTTCATCCATGTAACCCCATCACACAGCATTCCTTCGTCCATGCCTCACTGGTGTGCAGCATTCCTCCATCCATGCATCTCTGGATGCATGGATGTAGTATTCCATTATCCATGCCTCTCTGTGGTGCATCATTCCATCATTTCATTAATTTCATCCATAGTGTGCAAGAGCTCCGCCTTTGTGATGTACGGATGCCCTAGAAGTGTTATAAGCGCCTTACGAGTTCAGCCAACCGCGCTCGGCTTATCAGCTGTTATCTCAATTCATGTTTTTATCGATCTTGTTTACATTATCGCATCTTCACTCGTCCCGTCTTAATTTGTGGCACTTTTGTATCGTCATCTTTTTGTCATTCTTCTCTAAATTCCATCGTTTACTAGGCTCACGCATTCTGTCGAGTATCTTAATCATATAATCTTAATTACTATTGAAAATTTGAAATTTACTTGAAACCATTAAATGATTTTGGAGAACACTTCTACAAAAGAATCAGTCTAAGCAACAAGAAAAGCAGTAGGTACTATTCAATCCAGCGCACAATACTCACGCTCCTAATTTCTCTTTCCCACTTACCGACCTGAAGTTCCCACCAGTCCTTTGAGCGCGGTTCTCATTTGTGCCGCTCGCTATTGCTTTCTTGTCAACGCTATTGTGCGTTATATATGAATTTTATTTCGCTATGAATTTTATTATGAATTTTATTTCATAATAAAATTTATATTAAGTATATGAATTTTATTCCGCTATTACTTATTTCTCGCTATTATTAAGATTATACGGGCTATTTTTTGGCAAACATGAGGAGTTCGTCTCTTTCGCGGTTTTTCGTTTTTTTTTTCAATATGCTTACATGTTTTTTTTTCTTTTTCATCGTAATAGATGAACTTTTACTAGCTGTTTTAGCGCGCTTGTAACTAATGTGCTTATTTCTACTGTTTTTCCCAAAAATTTCTTTGCCTAATCTTACACTTTCTGAAATTCTAGGCTTGAAATTGAAGGTTGTCCCAAAACTCTGATGGCCAAATGATAATTTTATTATTAGATGTTCTGGTCATTCAATTATCACCGGATTAACGAGATTTCTCTCTATATATTTCATATCATTCTATATATATTATAATATGTTGCATATCGTTCTACGTTTTCTTCATATCTTACACTCGAACATCAGAACTTGAGGACGTTTTCTTGAAGTCCCTTCATGTCTGACTTCCACATTTCTTATTATTCAGTCCAAAGCTTAAAGTTGTTTACCTTCAGTTTTGATTAGCAGGAAAGATTCAATAATACTTAGTTTGGATTGCTGCGAATCAAATGTTTGTTTGCTGGTGATTCATATTATTTTCTTTCTGGCATGGAAGACGTGAGGGCGGCACAAGTGTTGCACCTTACCTGCTATACGCTACCAGATGTTTTTGCTCCAGCAGCTGTGTGCTGATTCTTTTATTTGTCGTGTTAAGTGTTGCTGAAGCTATAATTTAAGAGACGTAATTTAAGAAACTTTCCCCGATTCCTATCCTTGACGGGTTTGGACAAAGCCCTCTAAACAACTATAAAAATTGTTTCAAAGGGAAAAAATGCAATTAGATGTACACATTTCACTTTACGTCACTAAAAAGATGGGGCTTTTTACAAAGTTATTGGAGATGGCAGTCTCAATTTCGTTTATATAATAGGTACCGTATTACTTCTGTTGCCTATTATTTCGATGGCAATTACAATCGAGGCCTCTCAACCCTCCAATGTTTCTATATGCTCATTTTTCGTCTTGTATACCGTTTTCTTACAGTGCTGCAAAGATGTATGTGTGCTGCGCGCATTGGCGTTATAACGAAAGCGTGGTGCGTACGCAATCAACAATACACAATATTGAGCTGTACTATTATTCTGATATAGTCGTTTAACATTGACACAATCGCCGCTTTAGTTGTTAAAATTGTCGGGTATTTCGCGTCTGGCGAATGGCCAGAGTTTCAGGACATTATTCTGCTCGATGTGAATCATTTTATCATAGCAGTTTTTCATGCAGTATCTATAGCTCAGATTGTTGATGGTCATTACTAACTTAATAATGAATGCTAAGTGCAAGCAATTCGCAATACCATTGCATGCTCTCGATCGATGATCTGCGATAAAAATTGTCTGGATTAAGACGAATTCAATCGGGGAAGAGAGAACTTTGAGAAACGAATGTTGAAATTTCGAACCTCTTAAAAATTGCAATAATGATATAATTCTGTCGGTCGTCAGTACGCATTAAGGAGATGCAGTACCGGTTTTTTTAGTGCGCTATATTCACAATGTTGGTCTATTTAGAGCGATTGTAACCTGTGTAAACGTTTATGAAACTTGAAAATCATCTGGTAATATTTGAATGAGCTGGCACATCATGCCGTAGGTATAATACTTAGGATATACACTCGATTGTTTTCTGTTGGATCTACTCATGTCAACGACGGCTCGTATGTAGGTTGATACATACTTTGTTGGCTGGATAAGTGCATAATAATTATTATATGAATTTCTAAATAATCAAAAGCGATGAGGCAGGTAAGTATTTCATCATTATCTGTATATTTGTGCAGTACTGAAGGCTTTGAAATAATTAGCTTTTATATAAGTTTTATTACAATGAGAACACGCTTCCGAACTCGTGCTAAATGACTGACGATTAGCAGAGCATGCAATGTACACGCAACTGATGTTTTCTACGTATTGCAGAAATTTATCGTTCCGTGATTAATCTCAATGTACAATTAATCTCTGAACCTATCGACCTTTGAAAATCTACCTTTGAAAATCTACCTTTGTAGGTATCGACCTTTGAAAATCTGACATGTATGTGACACTTTTTTATTTTACAGATGGCGAAGCGGACGGGGTTAGAGATGGCAAAACCAGACCTCCTCCCGTTGATGTGAGTTCCTATCAACCAGTTTAATGTTAAAGGTTATGAGGAAATTGTTTTTTTTACTTAAAAAATTACTGTATTTGTCTCAACAAATTTGTCAGTTCCTGAATGGTCGACACTTACACATAACACGCCGGCACAAATCGATGCCGCGCATACGGTAGCACTGAAAAATATATTTAGGCGCCTTTATTAGAGCCTCGCACTAAAAAAATACTTTGGCGCCGTTATTAGAGTCGCTTGTTTGCTCTGAATCGGCGCTGACAGCCAGAGTCTCAACTATAGCAGCGGGTTTACTGTTAATTCCCGTTTCACAGTTTAATTAAAATAACCGTGACATTCAATTAAAAAGAAACTCTGCCCCTAAGATGACGCCTTGCCAATCGTGGCATGTGTAGGTATGTAAAATTGCGAAAGTTAGGCTTCCGTGAAACGTTCCAATTAAAAAAAAAAACAAGTCTACACTAAGCATTTATAAGTAATGACAGGTTTGTGCGACGTCATCATTTTGTTTCAATGTTAATTCTTCTATATATATAAGATCCTTGAATAAATGAAGGATTGAATACAGCGCTCACGTTGGAAAGTGCATTTCATCATATTAACGGCCTCGAACATCAACTATTTAGCAGCATCTAACAACGATTTTTACGATTCTTTCTATAAAAGTTATAGAATTAGATTACACACAATAATCTCGATCACCTTCCATGTTGATCCTGGAACCACTTTTCGAAATATCAAACAAAAGGGAATGTTGCCAGTATTAATATAATTTACTTAGAGTGATTCTCGCTAAATAATGAATGGTTTTAAGTATGATCGTTGATTTTGTAGATGGTCTACACGGAATGATTTCTTTCTTGAGTCATTCCATGGAGTTCTGCGCGCGTATATTCAAAAGCCTAGTTTCTGCTGCGATCAATGTATGCGATATTGAACCTATTATCGTTTGCCATGTATCGTTTGAACAAAGTATCGTTTGGACCAAGTATCGTTTGGACCAAGTATCGTTTGGACCAAGTATCGTTGAGACCGAGCATCGTTTGGACCAAGTATCGTTTGGACCAAGTATCGTTTGGACCAAGTATCGTTTNTAATATTGAATGTATGATGTTCTGTCTCGTAATATTGAATGTATGATGTTCTGTCTCGTAATATTGAATGTATGATGTTCTGTCTCGTAATATTGAATGTATGATGTTCTGTCTCGTAATATTGAATGTATGATGTTCTGTCTCGTAATATTGAATGTATGATGTTCTGTCTCGTAATATTGAATGTATGATGTTCTGTCTCGTAATATTGAATGTATGATGTTCTGTCTCGTAATATTGAATGTATGATGTTCTGTCTCGTAATATTGAATGTATGATGTTCTGTCTCGTAATATTGAATGTATGATGTTCTGTCTCGTAATATTGAATGTATGATGTTCTGTCTCGTAATATTGAATGTATGATGTTCTGTCTCGTAATATTGAATGTATGATGTTCTGTCTCGTAATATTGAATGTATGATGTTCTGTCTCGTAATATTGAATGTATGATGTTCTGTCTCGTAATATTGAATGTATGATGTTCTGTCTCGTAATATTGAATGTATGATGTTCTGTCTCGTAATATTGAATGTATGATGTTCTGTCTCGTAATATTGAATGTATGATGTTCTGTCTCGTAATATTGAATGTATGATGTTCTGTCTCGTAATATTGAATGTATGATGTTTTGTCTCGTAGGTAATATTGAATGTATGATGTTCTGTCTCGTAATATTAATGTATGATGTTCTGTCTCGTAATATTGAATGTATGATGTTTTGTCTCGTAGGTAATATTGAATGTATGATGTTCTGTCTCGTAATATTAATGTATGATGTTCTGTCTCGTAATATTGAATGTATGATGTTTTGTCTCGTAGGTAATATTGAATGTATGATGTTCTGTCTCGTAATATTAATGTATGATGTTCTGTCTCGTAATATTGAATGTATGATGTTTTGTCTCGTAGGTAATATTGAATGTATGATGTTCTGTCTCGTAGTATTGTATGTTGTATCGAACTCATAAATTCCTAATCCCCTCCGCATGCCGCCCCCTTGTGCCCCCCACTAATGCCTCCTCCCCCCACAGGTGTCGGGGGGCGCGGGGGAGACAGACCCGCTACGCACACCCCCGCCCTCCCAGCCCCGGACGCCGGGGGGGCGACACGACACTCTCAGGGACAAGGAGCGCAAGATCGGCCACCGCAGGGTGGGGGAGGGCGGCCAGGTCACCTATAAGAAGGTGAGGGTAGGGGAGGGGTGGTGAGGGTAGGAGGGGTGATGAGGGTAGGGGAGGTCTGGTGAGGGTAGTGGAGGGTGGGGGAGGGCGGCCAGGCCACCTACAAGGTGAGGGTATGGGAGGGTAGTGGAGGGTGGGGGAGGGCGGCCAGGCCACCTACAAGNGGACAAGGAGCGCAAGATCGGCCACCGCAGGGTGGGGGAGGGCGGCCAGGTCACCTATAAGATGGTGAGGGTAGGGGAGGGGTGGTGAGGGTAGAGGGAGGGGTGGTCAGGGTAGTGGAGGGTTGGTGAGGGTAGGGGAGGGGTGGTGAGGGTAGAGGGAGGGGTGGTCAGGGTAGTGGAGGGTTGGTGAGGGTAGGGGAGGGGTGGTGAGGGTAGAGGGAGGGGTGGTCAGGGTAGTGGAGGGTTGGTGAGGGTAGGGGAGGGGTGGTGAGGGTAGAGGGAGGGGTGGTGAGGGTAGGGGAAGGGTGGTGAGGGTAGGGGAAGGGTGGTGAAGGTAGGGATGGTTAGAATAAAAGAGGTGGTGAGAGAAGGGAAGGGGAGGTGTGTTGAGGGTAGGGGGGGGTGGTTATTATAGAGGTGAGACCAGCGTCCTCTCACCCGTCCCTGTTGCCCAGATCGGCACGAACCAAATCATGGGGTCCATCCAGCTGGGCATCCACCAGGCGGTGGGGTCGCTGGCGGGCATCCCAGAGCTGGACGTGCTCATCCAGGACTTCTATGTCGTCGAGACCATCTCGTTCCCTCCCAACGGCTCCGAGACTACGCCTGCTCATCCATATTCTGATTATAGGTATACTTCTTATGTGTTATACTCATATATCATACTCTGATTATAGGTATATACCTCTTGTATGTTTTACTCAGGTAGCGTACTCGGATTATATGTATATCTCTTATATGCCATAGGTAGTGTATGTCATATATACTTACACACACCACACCGATCGTCTCATACCCCGACTAAACTTATTATAGTTCCTCATTGTCATATGTCATATACAGGGTGAACCAGAATTAACTAACCTTTTTAATTTGTTAATAAATAAAAAACTAAGAACGTTATGAAGTTGAAACTTGTTTTATTTAAAAGAACATTTTTATGGTAATATTGTATCCTAGTNTCCGGGACCTGTTCCGTATCCCAGAACTTTGTGTACTAAACCGTACCTCACCCCCACCTCCCTCGCAGGTTCAAAGTTTACGCCCCGACGGCGTTCCGACATTTCCGGGACCTGTTCCGTATCCCAGTACCTCGTGTACTAAACCGTACCTCACCCCCACCTCCACCGCAGGTTCAAAGTGTACGCCCCGACGGCGTTCCGACATTTCCGGGACCTGTTCCGTATCGCGCCGAGCGACTACCTGGTGTCGCTGTGCAATGAAGACCTCAGGGAGCTGAGCAACCCTGGCGCCAGCGGCTCTATATTCTACGTCACTAATGATGATGAGTTCATCATTAAGACCGTGCAGCACAAGGAGGCAGAGTTCCTGCAGAAACTTCTGCCTGGATACTACATGGTTAGTGATATTACATGGTCAATACCACCTAGTCACGGTATTACATGGTCAATAGTGTTACAGTCATGGTATTACATGGTCAATAGTGTTGCAGTCACGGTACTACATGATTAGTGATGATAGTGCTACAGTCATGGCTGTACATGGTTAGTGATGGTAGTGTCACAGTTAGGGCAGTACATGGTTAGTGATGGTAGTGTCACAGTCATGGCAGTACATGGTTAGTGATGGCAGTGTTACAGTCATGGCAGTCCATGGTTAGTGATGGCAGTGTTACAGTCATGGCAGTACATGGTTAGTGATGGCAGTGTTACAGTCATGGCAGTCCATGGTTAGTGATGGCAGTGTTACAGTCATGGCATTACATGGTTAGTGATAACAGTGTTACAGTCATGGCAGTACATGGTTAGTGATGGCAGTGTGACAGTCACGGCATTACATGGTTAGTGATGGTAGTGTCACATTGTATATATTCCACCAATCAATATTCCACCCAATAGTGTTAGTCATGGTATTACATGGTCAATAGTGTTACAGTCATGGCAGTACATGGTTAGTGATGGTAGTGTTAGAGTCATGAAATATCCTCCGAAATTCGCCATCAAATTCATTTCTTCAATCAATATTCCATCAAACTTGATAACCTCGAGTCGACTAGGACAATCTGCCATCCGGCCTCGGGTTGTACCATGAAAGGAGACGATGTCCTTAGAATATATTATGGATATGACGATATGAATAACTTGTGAATATGATCTTATTGGCATGATCTTGTGGATATGTTCTTTTTAATGGGATTTCGTGGATTTGAATTTTTTAATATAATTGGTAATGTGATCGTATTGCCATGATTTTATAATGAATTCCAATGGATATGTTCTTAGGCACTACGTGAGTCACCCTGGCTTGTAACGTACATATGTCGTAAGAACATAACATGTGTCGTAAGAACAGCGCAAGCTGATCAAATATTTTACCCCATTTACTTACGATGATGTCTGCTCACTGACAGTGATTCTAAACTCTGTTTACAACCTTGAACCCTGTTCAGTACCGTAAACTCTTTCTTGAACTCTAAACCCTGTTTAGAACCCTAAATACTTTCTTGAACCCTATACACTGCTAGAAAAATTACCGTTAACGGTTTTACCGGCGTTTCAGTGGCCGGTCGGCACGTGAAAAGAAACACCGTGTTGCCGTTTTTATTATAATTTAACAGTTGAAATCCTTAAAACATTTGATAAAAATGGCGAAACAGTTTACCTATTTTCACGGGGCGACCGGCCACTAGAACGCCAGTGGGACCGTTTTTTCACCGTTTTTTCTAACAGTGTACCCTGTATGTTTTTCTCTTTGCAGAACCTGAACCAGAACCCACGCACGTTACTACCTAAGTTCTTCGGCCTGTACACCTACCAGGTGAGTGGTGCTAGGAGGGGTAGCTGGTTACACGCGTGGGACTCGAAAAAAAGTTTCGAAAGAAATCACTAAAACAAAATCCCGCACCTCGGCAGAAATCGTATATTGACGAGGACGAGGTCTGAACACCCTTTTAGTACCTCTCACGAAATTTGTACTTTTGGCGCCATTCTCTATGTTCCAGGCCTGCCAGGTAAACTATTTAAAAAGGCTCAATTCTTTCTACGTTTTCGGAGTTTTGTTTGAGTTAAAATACGACAGTTGCAGAGTGAACTGATGATTACTCATAATGTGCCTGATGCTGCAATTGGATAGATTTAAATTATGCCTGTGGGTGTTGGAATATGCTTTTTGTGGGCGATATTTTGTTGGACTACCGAGGGTTATTATAGAGTTTAGTATTGGGAAAACGCGAGCCATTGTTTATGAGACATATTGGCGTGACTGATGAATGATGAAGATTCGAGTGTTGCGATTGTTGTGATGGCTATTCTAGATTGATTATTTTGATAAGTGATAAGACATGGGAGTGTAAGAATATATTGTATTATGTGATTGATGGAGAGTGTATGGTGGGGTTGTTTGAAGTGAGTGAATTGGTGATGATGTGTTTGGAGAGAAAAGATTGCGCTAAATTGATTGATGAATTTGGTATATGTTGTTTATGATATTATTTCTTGTTGTTTTAGTTGTACGGTTTGTATATGTTTGTTGTATGTGTGTATTTTCTAGAGGGATGTCTGCGGTTGTGATGGTCCCGTGTATGCTGGTTACCCACATCATACACTGTATCTTCTTAACTGATCTCAGAAATTTCTAGTTCCTTTTTCTACTATTCGGTGTTTTTCTGTAGAATTTGTCCAAAGATTCATGTAGTTACACCCTAGTTTATAGGTTATTTTTATTAGATTTATGTATTTAGAGTTTATTGTCCTTAAACTTGTCGTCCTTGGAATTATTATTGTCCTTAGGTTTATGTGTTCACACTACAGTTAATAGTTTGATCATCATGGGTCATCGGCTCGGTCATGCACCTGATTTATGAAATAGATTAGATTAATATTATTATTTCTCTTTTAATCCATTGTGTTTATTTTTACTTGATCTTCTTACGTTCATTTGTTTCTGTTGTCATTGTAATATATTTTGGATGTCTGAGCATTATTATCCAAGATATCGCTTCTTGTACAAAATCTTCGTTCTTCACAATTATTTTTTTATCTTTTACTTTGTTGCTAGATATGTACTATACCTATTTTCTCTAGAAATTAATTTCAAGAATATTGGAGTTTCAGTTTACTAAAGCTGTAATTATTTGTTTCGTTTACTGCTGTACTTCCTTACGTCTTTTCTGAAAAAAATGCAACAAAACACAAACAATTGGCTTTCTCAACTGGGGGCAATCATTTATTTTAGCCGTGATCGTATTTATTTCAAATAAAGATCTCATTGAGTTAGGTACACATTGGAGGCTTCAGCATTTACCTAAAAAATTTATATACGTATATCGAATTTTATAACCGTCATGTAGAATTAATTTATGGAAGTTTGACGCTTTGCGTGTGGGTTAGACAAACTAAAGGCTTCAAGGAACGTTATTTCGATTTGACGGACTCAAAGCTAATAATAATTATGAGTTGAAATTGTAGAGTCACGCCTATTAATGAATTTAGAAAGATTAAGTATGAAACTGTATTAAATATTTGCAAAACCTCTAGCCCATTAATAACTTCTCTCTAGTTGAATACAAATCAAATCTACTGGTCACAATCTCTTGTTTTAAACCAGTGGTGACTTAATTATAACGGTTAACTAGTTAAATATCATAATAGCACCAACTTACCTAATAATAAACACATGTAAGCATTTGTGATATCAATTTTTTCTTACAATAACAGTCGCTAGTATCCCTGTAAGTAACCTTTCTCCACGTAGTAAGTAGCAGATATTATCAGCACTAACGTTCGTTACTTGAGGTGTGTTTCTCGACGATCACTACCAAACTATAAAAATTTATAAGCTAGTCTCGAACTTTCCTAGGGCGAATTAACCGTCTAATTAGCTCGTGTAATAAATTTCAATATATTTAATAATTTAAGTAAATCAACATGTGTAATTGACCTCTGTATCCATTGTTATTTGTATTTATTATTTGTTCGCCATCTTTTGTGTTTGTGTGCGTTGTACATAACATTTCGTGTGTAGTATTCATCTTCATAAGATAATATTATAGAATTATTGTTATTAAATGGCGCTCTCACACGGTGTCTTGCAATGATAATTGATAGAACTGCTAAAACATCATCAGAAAATGTATATGCCACCGTATTGTTTCTGTTGCGTCGCGTGACGTCACAACGCTGACTGCCACCGTATTGTTTCTGTTGCGTCGTGTGACGTCACAACGCTGACTGCCACCGTATTGTTTCTGTTGCGTCGTGTGACGTCACAACGCTGGCTGCCACCGTATTGTTTCTGTTACGTCGTGTGACGTCATAACGCTGGCTGCCACCGTATTGTTTCTGTTGCGTCGTGTGACGTCACAAGTGCCCAAGGTCCTTACGTCGGTAACATATATTATCATTAACTTGACTGTAGCGGCATTCAAGTGTTACGTTTTCACATGAGGCAATTCAAGAGTCTGCTATTGTTCTGATTGCTGAGATGAGTATAACCTTAACCCTCTACTGCCTGACATGAGTAGCCGGAGTATAATATTGTCACGCGCCTACTTCCCAAAAAATATAACGCAGTACTCACTGCAGTGAATGACAGAGAGCGCATTTTCTAGTCGACGAAAACGTGAAGTCACGGGCGGACAGACAGATAGACAGACAGACGGACGGACGGACGGACGGACATGGCGAGCACAATAGTGCATTTTTTCCATAAATGAGAAAATGCGCTAAAAAGGATACGTTCTAGTGAACGCAAAATGACATGCACTAATGGTTGCCGCCACGTACGACAACTTTAAAATGTTCTCTGCATGCGTATAAACGTCCTCAGGTTGCTACACTCAATAGTTTACGTATGATTTAAATTGGAAGTTATGTTCCCGGAGAGTGACATACGGCGGGAGAGGGTTAATATTCAAAGAGCTCCATCTATAGCACATGAGTTTCTACTACGTTTCTTCAAATCGGCAGTTTGTCATAACTGTTAGCTAAAATTTTTAATGTTTGCAGATCGATGCCCGCCTTAACTGAATGTTTTTTTCTCTAAATGTAAGCTCGAGTCCGCATGCAGTTCACGCATTTCGTGCAGTGTCACAACAACACTCATGACATAAGTGGAATTTCCCTTCACAGAACGGGCTCACATCAAATTTTTTTCTTTTCCTCGTTATAACGTTCCACAATCAGCGACTTCTGACGTGTGCCTCTGAATAGTGACTGCCTCCTCGTGTATACATTTCATGGTTAGCCCTCGTATACATTCTGATGAATTAATCCTTACAATCTGGTGTCCTTAGGCGGTGTTTTTTTCGCCTTCAAGACGAAGACGAATTGTTGGAAAATGTCTAATTAAAAATAAGTTGCACACTCTTGGAGTGGAGTACGCGATTTTGTAGCATTGAATTTAACGGGCCTGAATGTCGAATATTTCTATCTTTGTCTCTATATTTAAATCCGCAGCAACTCTTCTTGTAAATGTCTAAACATCACAATTATAATATAAATTATTCATGCACAGTGATGAGTTCGTCGTTCTATTGATTTTTCAATCCCAATTTGTAGAGCTGTTCTCGTCCCATGTTAATATATCGCACCGCTAATAAATCATGATTGTAGTGAACAAATCTGTTCATTGTTGGCAGAATCATGTGAATATAGTACATGATTATTACTGTATATTATTACCGCCTTTCTTAATTATTATTGTATAAGCTCAAATGATGGCTTGATGGGACAGGCAATGCGTCAAGTATTGATTACTCTCTATAACAATAATATGAGTAATATTACTACTCTTATATAGATGAAATACCCGGTGGGTTGATTTGACTGCAAAGTCTTCCATGTGGTGACATGCTGATTAGTTGGGAACACTAGCTCACAGAGCTTGGGTAAATTGTTTTGGTAGTTGCAAAATTTTGATAATTTATGCATTACTCAAGGCATTTGTCTAAAACGTGTTGTGCCTTTGTACTTAATAATTTGAAAATTAATACAGCACTGAATAATTCAACAATGGAAGTACTCATATGATGAATAACTCTTATTACTTCATTGTTAACGTTCAGCTTGAAGCTACCGCTGAAACGCTACATTCAGAATAATAAATGGGTCAGGTTTTCCAAGCAATGATGTATATACATTTCCTGCACGTAGACTTGATACGTCTTTTTGCCATGCAAAACTGACCCAGGGTCACCGGCACAAGGCTAAGAGTGCATCGCTATTTGAACAAAGTCTTCATTTTTCTGAGTGTAGCTTCTTCTCGCACCCTAATTTCCGGCGTTGTGCGACAGTGCGGCTGTTACCATGAAATCGTGGCTCTATTTATCGATAATATAAGCATTAGATGAATAATATATGAAACAATTCTCACTCCATGCTTGTGACGTTGAAGTTCTCAAGAACACAAAAAGTTAAACTTGGCCAGCTTGTTATAACGTCCACCTAATGTGAGCCTATATCAAAGAAGGCTCTTTTCTACCTTTCATTGCTTTGTCATTAAGGCTTTTTGCAATGAGACAAGGCATGCACATAATGTTCCTAACGTCAGGTTTACATCAATGATTATGTAATTAATTAACCATAATAGCATTTTTCTTTCGCTGAATGCCCGGTGCATTGGAATAAGACTTGTTCTTGGCGTCAGATTTACGTCGATAATTCTGAAAAATATCCGTCCTCAGCATAATTTATTCAGTGGAGGCCCTATATGCATTGGAGAGAGGTAAACGTCCCTAATTCTGAATAAGATCCGTACTGAATCCGTACTAATTCTGAATAAGATCCCTTACATTAGACTTGGTAAGAACGTTACTGCGA